AGCACTTCAAGCCCCTCACGAACACGAAAACAGCAAGCAAGCCGCCCCTCAAGCACGGTGACTAGTTATGCTTATTGATGTAAGTACGCAGCGACTGTACGGGGCTAATATTACACATTGTACCCCACATACATTAAGACAGCATGCAGTCATCGGTGAGTCACCGGTCACGTGTCAGCTGACGATGCTGTCACGTAGGGCACATATGACGTAGCTTTTGTAGCCTTTTGCCTAAACCTAAATCCTTCTATGGGGAGAGGCTGCAAGCTCTAAACCTCTTGCAGCCAGGCCTCAGGAGGCCCTAAAACCCTAAAGCCCGGACCCTCGCTACACCCACAAATCGCTCGAAACTGGCAACAAAGCCCTTTTGACCCTAAACCCTACGAAATTTGAATCAAAGCCCTTGTGACCCTAAACCCTACGAAATTTGAAACAAAGCCCTTTTGACCCTAAACCCTACGAAATTTGAAACAAAGCCCTTTTGACCCTAAACCCGTCTACGCTACACTCAACAAACGTGAACCTCTGCACCGTCCTTTCGCTGCGCCACGCCATTGGGACCCCGAAGCTCCTTGCTCTTCTCGTCCGCCTCTGCTTGCTCCTCATAACGGCATCTGCTATGTGTGCATGCGCATGCAGACAAAATGTGTACATATATTGTATGTATATATATATATATATATATGTATACATATATGCATGCATCTGTGTGTATTATGTATCTACATATATACAAGCACACGCATAAATAACTATATATATATATATATATAAAGGGTCCGGATGAGAAAAGCTAGAATCAGCTAGAACCTCCGCGGGCAGTAAGCCTTCATACATCCCCGGTGAAACCTTGCCTCCACGTCCTGCAACGACCATTGCCTTCTAGAGACTGCATGGTGCTGTGGACTCTCACAAGTGCATAGAGTAAAACGATCGCCAAGTGGGGATCCGTCATGAAAGTGGTTCTTGTTGATGTCCTTGAACTTCTTCCACAGGGCCTGGCCGTGGGCGATCTCTTCCAAAGCCCGTTCTGCACGAGAAGGCGGCAGACGGGCGGCCAGGCGTTCCTCGACAGCATCGCACGGAGGCGCTGACTCGAGGCTTGGGTCCCTTGCATAGGGAAGGTTTTCTGGCAGCACAATCGTAGGGAGGGTTTACAGGGTTAAGGGCATATCAAAACACACGGACCAGGCGCAGCGTACAGTCGAGCCGGATAGCTAGGCGACTAGTGAGCCATGGAAATCCCATGAGCTCGTGCCCTGGCCGGTCCGAGTCATAAACGTAGGAGCCTAAATGATTTGGCGGCTTCTTGTTATAGTTAGTTTTGTTATATGCCCCAAAACCCTATTCTAATTATTAAGGCGCCTATACCCCACTGCCGGTGTCTAGCTCACAAGAACTTGTAGGGCCTAGGGTTTGTGCTTTAGGGTTTCGACGCTCACACACGCACAAGGCAGGCAAGGCTCCACATAAGAGCCTACAGCTTTGGCCTTAGGCTTTACTGGGATGGCATGCTTCGGCGCTCACACTCGAGGCATGTGATGTCTGATCGACTGTGTGAAAAACGAATGGCACCTCCATGGGAAAGAAGATCAACAACAGCCCATACAGCAAAAGCCTAAGAGAGCACTACCCTCTTCCTAATCCCTATATGTCAAGCGGTCAAGTTCGCGACTTCAGGTTCGAAGGTCACATGAGGTCGCATCATCGGCTGAAATCGCGAAGCACTGCATGATCTACATGACGATGAAACAAGGCTACCAGACTATGAGGGCAGGGTCAGCCTCGGGTATGGAGACTGAAACGACCGTCAACAATCTTCACGATCGTCCTACAACTTCATGATATCGGGCAACATTGCCCTTTGCAAGCGAAGAAAGCAAGCCTTTGCTGAAAACTAAGTAGGGACGCAAGCGACAATAATCAAGAATTCCAAAAATACCGAAAAAGCTTCTCCGATGGTGAAACTACAACGCACGCACCTGGCATGTTGAGGGTTTAGGGGTTGCAGAAGTAGTCGATCAGGGTTAATTACCCAGTCAGCCTCTGGCTGTTAGGAGAGTTGTTCCTATAGCACCGTTCCAGAAAGCTGTCGCAAACCCATGCCGCATCATCCCAACTCTGGACTCCCTTTGTCGCCGGATTTGAGTATAGGTCTCATACCACCCCGCTTCATCCAGCCCTACAGCGCGACACATGCCCTGTGTGCTGGAAGCAGAACAAGAGCCGTTTCTCTAAATACCCTTTGCCCTATTTTCATTTTCTCAAACTTCTCGCCCCCCTTTGCTAACCGTATCGCTCTGTCCTCGGCAGCGCGGAGAGCCGCTGGCCCGGTCGGCACGCTGGACTCAGGCAGGACAGAGCGGCCATACCTGCACTTTCACATGCTCACCAGCTTCCGAAGAGGATGCCAAGCACATGTTAACATTAATCAGCCACCCCCTCCCTCAGGTGCGCAAGCGACTAAAGATGAGGTTCACCGAAACACGCACCTTGGTACAATGCAGGCAGTACGTCAGTATGTGGGTGGTCGTCAAAATTAGGGTCCCTTTATGGGTACCCTAGATAATAGGTGCCGTATAATATTAAGGACCCAAAAAGGGACCATAATTTTGACAACCACCCATGTATGGGGCAACCCCCAACCCTAAACCCGGTGCAAGATGCTTCTGCTGGATTTTGTACTTGTCTTGCAGCGCATCGAGCTCCTTCAGCAGCTCCTGGACCGCTTTATTGAAGCTTTGTGTAGAGGAGCAGTTGTCTCAGTCTGTTGCCTCATACTTGGAGGCCCTATTGACTTAGTAAGTAGGGTTAGTAAGGTGGGTTATGGGGATTATAATGGGGTTTCTAGGGGATACTAAGTAGACTTACTAAGTCAAAAGGGCCTCCAAGTAGCCAGCATAAAGCCGATAGGACGAAACTTCGAGAAGAACAACCGAACAACAACCGCATGTGTAGCATGTAATCCAGACATACCCGCAGAAGGAGCCGGTGCAAAAATCCGTGTTAGTCATTGTTGAATAGCTGTCCCTTTCCCCTAGCAGCTACGACATCTTAAGCACACACACCCGCCGTCAGCAGAACCACATGGAATCCTTGCGGTTCATTCTGGCGGTGGGTACCGCAATCTGGTCTTCATTACCAGGCGCCGGTCAGTGCAGCCACTACATGCACCGCCATCGAGTCACGCAGCAGCTCATGGGAGTTCGTGGATGTACAAGGAGCTATGCAAGCATAATCTTTACGGAAGCAAATCCCACAGTCAAACCACCGGGAACCTCCTGATTGCTGCGAAGCTGGGGTCGGGGTCGTGGAAGCTGTCAGACTGTCTGACGGACCGCCCGTGGGTTTTCGTATGGGTTCGAATAATAGGCTCCTATCGAGAATAGATGTCTGGCTTTTTCGTGCATGATTAAGTCTTCTCTTGAGCCTTGTCGAAAGAAAGGCTGACGTCATCCGTCAAACCCTACACATGGAAACCCTAAATCTTGAAAACCTATGTACAAACCCGAAACCGGTAACCCCGACATCCTAATCCCTATAGTAAACCTCAAGAGTTAGAAACCGGATTAAGGACAAATGGTGCTGGGATTCCCTATACATTACTCTTAAGGATTGAGGCTGTTGGGGGTTTCCAACTTTTGGGCTTCTACCACAAGCCTTGGGCTCAAGGAGTGGTCTACTTGCACTGGTTGAAGCAGCGAAGCCCGAAGGTCGCATAGCTGCTGTGGTGAAAAGCATTTCCAAGAAGAACATGAGTAACACTACTGGGCTGTGGATCTATCCCTACATCACCCGTTGGGAATATGCATCACCCCATGTAGATGCTGCGTCAGAGCAAACATACATCACCTGCGAAATTATGTAACATCTACAAACAATGACAGTATACTTTCAACATATCTCACAATAACACTGAAACTACTCACAGCGAAAACACCCTGCGGCCGACACTAACATGTAGCATGGTAGAGAATAAAAGGTAGTATCATCATGCTGACAGCGGTCAGTAGCATAACCGGAGTGGTAGCAATCCTTGCATTCGTGCCCGTACTGCTAGCATTCATATTTTCGGCAACAATGCAACACTGAATACACCGAGTCACACAAAAAACAGCGATAACCATAATGAGGAGTGCATGAATACATGAATGGTACACCCACACGTGCACATGTATACATACATACCTACATATAATTATATATAATTATATATATATATATATATGTCTGGTCTGTCAAAAACAAACCAAAAACAATATGTGTGTATATATATATACACACAACATTCAGTCGACATATATATATATATATATATATACATATATATATATGTGTGTGTGTGTGCGTACATATAGATACACGCACATACGAATGTTTGTATATATTCGTGTATGCACGTATTCATGCGGGCATGCGCGCATGTGGGTGAGGCGTAAAATATCTATGCACATAGGTGAATCATATGCAGGTAGATGCTTGCTGGCTAGGCAGGTAGGTGGGCTGGCTGGCCGGCTGGTCGGCTTTCTAGTTGGCTTTTTGTCCCTACATACCTTCATACGCTTAACAAGAACTTAAACAAACATATACATATATATGTATATACACATGGGTAACACGACTAAACAAATACCTAACTGAGCAACTTACTAGACACATGCATGTACAGTACAGACATGTACATTTGCCTTTACATACCCCTACAAGCAGTCATAGCATACGTATGCATATACACATCTATAAATATGTACATCTTTACCTCTGTAAAGGTATACATATACACACATATGCACATAAATGCGCAAACGTGCACATATTTATCTATACAACTATGCATATATGCTGCATGCATGCAAACATGCATGTCACAACTATGTTCACACCTGTATACACAACTGTAATTACATGCATGTCCGTATGCATGTGTATGTGTATCTGTATGTGTATAAGTGTATAGACAAGAAAAGCTTCAACATAAGAGGGCGATCTCGGCTTCGGACGTCGAGGTACTCCCAGATCTGCCGCCTGAGCCGGTCAGGATCACCTGCAGGGTCTTGGCTCAGCCTCAGACGGCACGAAACAGAGCAGAGGCTTCCTAGCCGCCCAATATTCGAGGCCTTAAGCATCAGCAGAATAGGCCGCTGTGGTTATGCTTATTATGATGGCTACTCTTATCATTTATAGCTGTAGTGGCTGTTGTAATTGTTACTGCTGTTACACGATGGCCACTAGCCTTTCGAATATTGCTGTCACTGATCATTCAAAACTTGCACCCCGACCCGAAACCTAAGCCCTGCCTCACGACCTAGCCGTAAGCTCATGGCTTTCCACAAGCAACAGAAACTTCAGCACCTATTTCATGCAAACGCGAGTCCGCCGCTGCCGCTGCTTTCAACCAGGCACCCAAAGCCCAATACTCCGTAAGTTAAGTTAACAGTTAAGACTACATGCCGTAAGGCCTTTTCCGGATCCCTCAAACCTACGGTTCATTTCGTGTCTAAGTTGTGTTCGGCTCTCTGGGCAACCAAGTCCTCGGCACCGCATTGGCACAGTTCCGCACGGCCAGAATTTGCAGCCAACGGAGCTGGTCATGAGTGGTGAGCGGGGGGCCTGCTCCAACAAAGGACGTGCTACAGAACAGAATAATATACTATTGCTCATATATATATATATATATATATATATACATATATATATATATATATATATATATATATGATTTTTGAATTTTATACACACACACACACACATATATATATATATACACATCAATATCAGCATGTCAGTACGATGCAGTACAGTAGAGCCCCCAGGCCTGGCGCAGGCTTCTGAACCTGCCTTGTCAGTCAGACGGAAGCTTCAAGGTGACAAGGCTCCAAAAGTAAAATAGGGGCCTTAATAATTAGAGTAGGATGTTGGGGCCCAGTATACTATAAACATAATAAGGAACTTCCAAAATAGTATAGGTAATTATTAAGGCCCCTATATTAATGCGTGCCCTCCACCTGCCTCGCTGGCTTGGGTTCGATAGCTGCTGCCTCACAATGCAAACGGAAGCACAGCTCACACCAGAGCAGCGCCAAGACGTGACGCTGATGAGGAGAAAAGCTCAGCAGCAGCTGAATGCTTCGCCGGAGCCTCTTGCTCCAGACCTGTCGCAGAAAGATGGCCTGGATAGTCGCGAAGCTCGATTGTGGCGGGCCTGGCTCCTCTTGCTTTCTGCTGGCACGTTGGCTGGTCGGGATGGTCTTCTCGACCTGTGTCAGTTGAGCAATATAATTAATGCCTTTCACCAGCTATAACATGATAAAAATAACAATAATAATGATATAGTAACAAAAATAGTAATAAATAGTTTATCCACACCATCTGCCGCGCGCTCGCTTCCCCAACTTCCGCCGCGGGCAAGGGCCTTTTTCGGTGCCGGTCCTTTCCAGAGAAGCTGTATCAGAAGCCTCGAGAGTGCCGGAAAACCCTACCGTGGGATCGTACAGAGGGTTTAGGGTTTAGGGGTTTAGGGTTTAGAAGTGCAGGGAATGCCTGGATTCTCATGCATCTTTCCTGAGCAGCGCAATCATGCTGTCCACTGCCGAGCTGTCAGCAATCCAACGATCACGGCGACGATGCTCGGCCACAGCCAGCTGGCTTCTGCGGAACAAACCAAGTGCACGGAACAAGACGGTTAAAAGACGGTAGTCTGTGTCCAAATCTGCACTGGGGGCCATGCGGACGCTGCTGTTGTCCGCCATCGGGCCAGAGCAGTGCTGTGTGCAGCTCACATAGTCTCAAGTGAAATTGACTGTCGTGCGTGACCTGCTGCCTGTTGGAAGTGTGGGGCTGCACCCGCTGTTGAAATTGACAAGACTGCCACTGCAGTGCCATTGCCAAGCACAGCTCACACGACGCAAACAGTGACTTTTGCAAAACACCCTTGCGAAGCGAATTCGAACACCGCGCTCGCATTTGTTCGGCGGATGCGTGAACGGAGTATGTGGTAGCCTTTGGCTGGTAACATGGAAAATCTGAGCCTAAGGCACCATTGGCTGTCCTGAACGATTCAAGCTCGGACAGTGCCAGCCAGCCCATGCAACATCAGCTACAAGCCTAGAGTGACACCAAAGCCCACAACGAAGGCGCCAGTGATAATGAGCCAAGACATATTAAAGGTGGTTTGGTCGAAGCCGTCATGCTCACTGGATTGCTTCATAGCTTGTCTCGACGTTTGCGATGCTTCGCTCCGTGCAAAGCCTCCCCTGATTCTTGGAGTCACAGCCCAAAATGTATGGTAATGTACGTGTAGTAAATCTCATGTGAACACAAGAGAGGCTGGGCAAAAAGAGCCCCTCGACTAAAGGCACATGCACACTTCACCTTAAAATGCACCAGAGATCTGGCTAGCCTGAGGTATGCAGGGAGACATCTCTCGGTGCCTGCCAGACGGCTGGCTGCCTTCGCTTCCTTATCTGGAGGCCGTGGTACTTAGAATGGCGCTTTTGTAGCAAATTACTGTGGTGTTCTGACTAACAAGGAATCCTAAACGAGAATATTGGTAATTGCTCAGGCCTCCATAATATACACAAGCTCGTTGCAGCTGCATCAAAGCTGCATTCGCAGACCGCGGACGGCGGTCATGCCTCAACATGCAGGGTGCTTCAAGCATGTCTCTGGGAACGTAACTATCCAGCCACCAGAATACCGACCCATAATGAAGAACAGAGTTGTCAATGGGGGGTTTCCGAAAATTAGGGGTACCTTGTTTGGGGTCCTTATAATAAGGACCCTACTATTTAGGGTACGATATTAGGATTAGGGCCCCCTATTTTCGGAAACTCCTAATTAACAAGGATCCAAAGAACCCTTCCAACAGCACTCCATGGGATGACCCGTCAAGCTGCAAGCGATGGACCTGGCGCAAGCAGCTGAAGTACTCATTCATCTGCATCCCTGAGATCCAGAGCACGAGCAAGAAATGGCTCGGCTTCGTTCGGGTTCATGAGTGTTTCAGTAGGCTTTCGGCGCTCACACTCGGACAATCTAGGCGAGGCATATGGTTCGAGGTCTGTTGGGTGAGACTGCACTAAGTTGGGAGAGCTTGAAAACAGCAGACGACAAAGCACAACAGTAGGGTTTAGGTTTCCAAAGTGACATCTGGCATGTTGTTACGGTGCAGCAGAGCTGCAAGTCTTTGCCGGTGTCCGCCTTGTAAACCTCAGAGCAAAGAAGTGCATCTGGAGCCTGCTTGATCGCTTATCGTGAGTCTGCCCAATGCACCAATTTCTTGCGGCGATGTTCCTGAAAACTAGGGCTCCGTCTTCTTCGCACCCTATACTATACCATGGCCCGACAGGGACTGCAAGCTACTGCAAAGAGGGCTTCTACTACAGGTAGCGACCCTCACATGCTGGAAGCATTATAACCCTGTATTGGGCTTGCTTGTCCAGCAAGCCTAGACAAAAATTGACCTTTGGGGTTACACAGGGGCTACACAACCCACCAAAACGTCAAATGTTCCCTCTATCTAGCTACATCAATCTATCCGTAAAGATAAAAGTCTCGCCTGGATCGCGCTCACGTATAAACGTATAATATGAATACATGCAAGTAAAGCATAAAAGGTGTGTTAATATATATATATATATAAAGCATGTGTATATATATATATAGATAGATATATGCGCATGTATACACATGTTGGGTCTCTGGCATCGCCAAGGTCGATGAGCTCCGACTCCGCCGGGTCCTTGCCCTCCCAAAGAGCCTTCACCTGCATGAGTTGTCAGCCAGTGGTCGCTCTAGTAGTAGTATATAGTAGAAGTCGTAGTCGTAGTCGTAGTAGTAGTCGTTGTAGTAGTAGTAGTAGTCGTCGTCGTCGTAGTAGTAGTCGTAGTAGTGGTCAAAGTAGTAGTCGTACGAGTAGTAGTAGTAGTAGTAATAGTAGTAGTAGTAGTAGTAGTAGTAGTAGTAGTAGTCGTAGTCGTAGTCGTAATAGTAATCGTAGTAGTAGTCGTAGTAGTAGTCGTAGTAGTAGTCGGAGTAGTAGTAGTAGTAGTCGTCGTCGTACGAGTAGTAGTAGTAGTAGTAGTAGTAGTAGTAGTAGTAGTAGTAGTAGTAGTAGTAGTAGTAGTAGTAGTAGTAGTAGTAGGAGTAGTAATAGTAGTAGTAGTAGTAGTAGTAGTAGTAGTAGTAGTAGTAGTAGTAGTCGTACGAGTAGTAGTAGTAGTAGTAGTAGTAGTAGTAGTAGTAGTAGTAGTAGTAGTAGTAGTAGTAGTAGTAGTAGTAGTGTAGTAGTCGTCGTCGTCGTAGCACTAGCAGCTGTAGCAATCGTCCTCAGAGGAAGTAGAAGACCCCAGAAACGTCAAGATCACCACCAGGGTCACTAGAGCTTTAACGACTTCGAACAGCAGGATGCGGACTACGCCACCGGCCGAGGTGCCTGGAACAGGAACGTAAGCTTCGGCGTGAGCTTTGGGAGCTTGCTGTGCTCAATGAACTCGAAAGCACCTGAAACCAAGGGCTTGGGCTCAGCATGGACTTTTTGTGTAAGCCTGGAAGTCCAGCTCCTCAGATGGTAGGTTGCTATCAATATCTCACAGGATACCGTAACATATGATAAGTGCAAAGATGAGAAATAGCTGATAGTGTCTTGTTTGTACTCGAGTTGGTACTAGTCCTTCTAAAAGTCTTATCCACTCTTCGAAGAGTAACCCTTCATACATGGTAAGTAGCTGGGCTTCTGGGTTGAGGGCTAACTTGCAGAAGGCCACTAAACGGGTCTCGGGATGCTGAAGGTTTTGTGAAGTTTCAGGGTTCCACTTCGGGTTCCTTAAGGGAGCTGTAAGAGTAAAGGCCACACTAGCGAAGGCTCTTCTGAAAGGGGTTAATCAGGGCTTTAGGAAGTCTGTGGTTCAGGGCTCCTTCTTGGGTTACCCAAAGTGTGCTGTAATACCACCCTAAACCCTAAACCGTTATGATAAGATGGCATAGGGTATAAAAACGCTGTAAGATGCTAGCTGTATAGGGGTACAAGCTCTTTGAGGCCGTCGCTCGCGCGCCCGCGGATCTCCTCGATGGTCATGCCCCGATCCTTGAGATCCTGGCCGAAGGCGATGGGGAGCTGGTGGTGTGGTCAAGGTTTAGGCCTTCAGGGCATGAGTTTTCTAGCATATTGGGGTTTCCACTCTCGCCATGCTTGTGCAGGGGCCATGGGATTCAGTGTTTCAGGCCTTTCAGTGTTGTTGACTTTTGTTCTACTCACAGTGGTCGAGCGAGACGGGCTTCTACACTAAGGTAGTCCGGCACACGCTGCAGTTTGTCCACCGTCTCTGCTTGGTTGCCCTGCTACTGTCTCAAACCCCTGCTGGCTCATGTCATTATCTCACACCACACTTTACATATTTTACAATTCATTACTCATAGACCAGAAAGTCTATTAGAATACAAATAGACATGTAATATCTGCCTTGATCATGTTCGCCTCGATCTTGGAGAGTTTCATCTCAGTGCCTCGGGAATGGGTTCTGCGGCAGGCAAGCAAGGAATCCTGCGGGCGGCGACCAGGGTTTTCTGGTGTTTTGCCATGTTTTGCCACCAAAAAACACCCTGAGGGCTGCACAAGCCAAAGCATAGTCCTGAAAGAATTGCAATCTTAGGCCTGTGGCGTATCCGACGGCAGAGCCGGGCCTTCTTGCTCCACATGGGCGGGTGCCGGTAACCAAATGGCGTCAAGTAAGAAGGCTGTCGCCACCATTTCTGCGAAGCAGGAGCGTCGCACGATAATCAGCATTGCAGAATGACAAGCGCATCAACACGGGACACTCGGCCCGATGACAAGGTTTATGGTTCATGATTGCGATCACAGGCTTTCAAAGCACGCCAGGAACTGCTTCAGCACGGCGCCTTTATCATGTTCTTTGGCAGGTCTATCCACTTGCCCTGCTCGGAGTCCCAGCCGGTCTTGAAATCCTGCTATGTCAGAGCGGTCAGTTTGACTCTACCCCGGAGCCCGGCGGCACCAGGCACACACGCAAAGAGTGCGACGTTTATTCGGCGATTTATGTGCCCCTAACATCACTTCAGAGCGATCGAGGTCCGCTTCGGATGGTGTGCTTTGACAAAAAAGCCGACCGCACATGTCACATGCACGTTAGCCGTACCTACTGCGGCGGAGCAACACGTTCCGAACTCGTAGTGTTCCACTATTTCCGACGAACAACACACAAACCAGTCTCTCTCTCTCTCTCTCTCTCTCTCTCTCTCTCTGGCACGTGTATATGGTCAAACTACGAAAGAAAGACTTGCGGCTTGCTTGTTTTATCTTGTAAGTCTTATAGGTCTTAGTATCTTGGACTTCTGAGGGATTCCATGACCTCGCAATGACTTGCAGACTGATTGTGCGGCTGATGTGTACTCACTCTTGCTGTGGCCACCTGCATTTCAGAGCCAAGCAGTTCCGGGGTTTAGGTCGATGCTTTAGTGTACAACACACGCACACATGCGGGCTCGGGAAAGAAAGTCTTGCCCTGTGTTTTGCAGACGCTGTGGTGAGATGTGAGGCGCTGAATGAACAAGGCACAGGAGCCTTGGGATCTATTCGCCACACGCTGTCGATCTCAAGTGCCGCCTGGGTCTGCGGCTTTGCAGTGCGCATGGAGAGCCAAAGCGTCATAGTACATCTAATGTGGTGGCCTTGATAATTAGAATAGGGTTTTGGGGCCCATCATACTATAACTATAATAAGGAGCCACCAAAATCGTAGTGGTAATTGTTTAGGCCCCTATGTTAGGACTCTATAGGACGTATAGGACAGATGATGACAGATGTAATCGAGAACTGCCGCAAAAAAACACAGAACGGCGTCTCAGCTGCCAAAGCTGTGCAGCAAGTCTTGGGGCCGGTGCATCGGGACTCAATCTGGTCTTTCCGGTCGCCTGGGCACTGTCTTTAGACCAGTAGGCCAGCGAAGCTCCTCTGCGTTTCATGGTTTCCGGCTGTTGGTTGCAGGTCTGCTTCAAGGAAAAACAGGCTTCCTTCTAATGCTTGAGGAGAATCTGCTCCAGTCCGCTGGCATGAGAGCAGGACCACAATAACGTCTCAATGGAGTCTCGGCAAATCAGACCACTCTTCACAAGACGGAGCTTGGCTCAAGGCTCGAATGTGTCGAGCGGAAAGGGATGGCTGACGGGCCTCCCCTTGCTGGGCCAAGCCGACCTCACGTGGTTCCACCTATGCTTGTACTGCTCTGACTCTACAGAACAGACCAGAACTGCCAAGTGGGGGCTACTTGTAGAGAGGGCTTGCCAAGGAACTAGCTGTTAGATAGGGGACATGGCGGAGCTCTGCGGCATCTCCTTCAACCAAGTATGCAAGAACTTTATGTGGCTCGGAATAACAAGTCCGCCGCACCAGCGAGCAATCCTTAGGCCCTTATACTAGCAGCAAGGCGCAGCATGGTGTTACAAGTAATATAAGCCGTAGGTGCAGCTGCCAAGATTTTTCTTTGTGCAGCATATGCTTTTTGACACTCACACTCGGACAAAGCCTGGCAGCATATTGAATGTATTAGACATGCGGCAGGATGCCAACAGAAGAACAGCAACAACCAAAAACACGCAGAAGGCCCCTCGGGCTCCTGCGAAGTCCTGCGCCCAAGGTCGGCGGCTCAAAAATGTTGCAAGGACCAAGAGCCCCAATCCTGCGGCTCAGGGTTCAAGATGAATGCCCAGGCCCACGAAGACTTAACCAGTGCAATGACGGCGTGCGGCGTACGTCTTAGTAATGGGCCAGGGTGACAGCCCAATCGTGATAATTGCAACCTGCACTTTTTCCGCCCTGTCCCAGGGAGCTCCTGCGCCACAGCGGCAGGGAAGAGGAGCCCGCCTGCATTTCGGCGGAGTCTCAAGGGTTCTTCCGGGAGACACATACACACGTACATACATACTATGACAAAACTATACATCCATCCGTCCATCCATCCCACCATGCATAACAACAAGCCAAAGCAACGAAGGAACCCAGGAACCATCCAACCTACCAGCCGACCGACCGTGGCAACCCACCAACCGACCCACCCCACCCAGCATCGCACCAACCCACCGACCAAATTTCCAAAAAACACGCAGACAGACTAACCAGCAAGCAAGCAAGCAAGCAAGCAAGCAAGCAAGCAAGCAAGCAAGCACACACACACACACACAAAAACAAAACGACCAAACAGGCAAGCAAGCACACAAGCAACCAAGCAAACCAGCAAGCATGTACACAAACAACCAACCAAACAAATGAATAAACAAACAAACAAAACAACAACAAACAAAACACACAGAAAGCACACGCACACAGACACACACACACACACACACAAGCAAAAAGAGCAACAACAAGCAAGCAAGCAATCAAGCACCCCAACAAACAAAACCAAACTAACATACATACATACATACATACATACATACATACATACATACATACAAACCAACAAGCCAGCAAACATACACGCAAGTATGTGGATACAACTGTCTTTACCTGCATGTCATCGATACAGTGTGTCAGCAGGCCTCGTCATGCTGGCCACACCTGCCAAAGTCAAGAAGCCAAGGTCGGAAAACAGCAGCGGTCTGTCATGCGGGCACCCGCCTCGCTGCAACGACGCCATCGCTTGACGGCTCTGGCCGGTTGGCTACGACTATGGGAGCCCAAACGGATTGAAGCAGCAGCAACTGAGGAACAGGTGTAGCATCCTGGCAAGTTTGCGCGTACTTCAGGGCATTCTCCGAAGTCCCAAGCAACAACCATCTCGATATGGAAGTTTCCGAAAATGGGGGACCCTAACATAGCACCCGAAATGATAGGATCCTTAGTATAAGGAGCTCTAAATAAGGTACCCCCAAGTCTCGGAACTCCCATATCGGATGCTGCTCCAAAGCATGGGTTGTCAGGCCTCGCCCCAACACCAGTGGCCCTCACTGCACAGAATACGCTTGGGAAGTGTTCTGGAGACAGACCCCTCAGGCCCTCATATGGGGGTTGCCGAATAAAGGGGTACCTTATTTTGGGGTCCTGATAATAAGGATCCTACTATCTAAGGTATTATATTAGGGTCCCCTATTTTCGGAATCTCCCATATGATAGCTATTGTAGCTACTGCACGAGGGCTCCCCGGACCAAGACGATTTACCTTCACCCTATCGAGCGAAAAGGCACCTGTGCTAAGCAACTGATGCGCCACTTTTTGCCATCTTGTGATCCGAGGTGGCTCCCTGTTCTCCACGGAGCCGGAGGCTCCATCTTTGCAGGGATCTGACTTGGCCTCCCTTGCACGCCGTTGCTGGCTCAGGCGCTGGAGATGCTCCTTGATGACGTGGAGCTTGGCCGCTCGCCTGGGTTCTTGCTAAGAGGGTTCGTTTACTCAACTAATGTTAATAACCATAATGCAGGGATCCATGGCAAATTAGATGAGTTCCATATTCTGGCTACTGTACGTAAACTAAATAAACCCTTTGTCAGGACAAACTGAGGTGCCGGCCAGTGCCCACTTAACTCTCACCCCCTCTTAAGGCACTCCAAACCCTTTTTGCATTCGGACTTGTGCAATCGCCTGAATACATGGACGGAAGGTCAGCACTCCTGACTGAGGTCGTCCCTACTAGTTTCTTGAGCACTCCAAACCCTAAAACCCTGCAGACATATAAAGCCTAAAGCTCCGTAGCACAGAGGGATTTTGTGAAAGCCCTAAACTCTACACCCCTAAACCGTAAATACCCCAAAGCTCCGTAGCAAGAACCTAGTCGCTCTTGTAACAGGCGGAGGCGTTGCTGTGCGGAGCTCTGCTCGGAAGCATGCTCCTCATGAGGCTGCTCGCAGCTTCCGCCTTGCGAGGTAAAGAACTTGGAATTTCGATCATGAGCCGTAGCAATAATTAGCGCATTATGATTACGATAACTAATGATTGTTACAAGTGGTTCCTCTTACAAAACTATACCGGCAACCCGGCAACCACCGGGTCCCGGGTCCCGCGACTTATTCAAGGTGCTGCTCTGCGCCGAAGGAGTGCTCCTCAAGATTTGCAGCTCCTCCGTGGGATCGATGGCGGGAACCTGCCAAGGCCGCACCCCTGGGATGAACCCAGAAGCCTCGGTAGTTGGGTAGGTAGTGCAGTAGGTTCGTGAAGTGTTGTGAGTACCATTTATGTAAATATGCACTTATTTTTTGTACATACATATATATATATATATACATGTATATATGCATATGTACGTGTATGTATTTGTAAACATATATGTGTGTGTATCTTGATTCTGTATCTGTATGCATACATACATGCATACATAGAGACAGACAGAAAGACGGACCGACAAATTTACATACACTACATACATACATACACATACATACCTGCCTACATATTTTATATATACATAAAAGGCCTACACCATCAGGGTTAATATGATTGAAGGTTTAAAGAGAACACTACGTAACACGAACACACTCAGCAACTGAGGTGAAATCGAGCTTTCAGAAAGCTCGGCTAGATCTTGTTGCGCTGGGAGCATTGAACGGGACTATGGCCGACGTTGCCCCAAACGCTGTCAAAACCAATGCAATGAAGCATGCCTTGTCCCTCGAAGGCAGACAGCCTAGCAAACACGTGAAACAGAAGGAAAACTAACAAACCTATTGACGGCTGCCACATAACATCCTCATAAACACTTTTTACACCTATGAAGCCGCAATGAAGCCTTTGTCCATACTCATCTCGCGCACCTTCTCCTGGTTCCTCTCCAGCTCCATGGCCGGCAAACGCAGCTCCGCATCACTGCGCAGGTCTCTCAGGCCTCTTTACAGTCAATAACCCCTTACATTGGTCTGCACAGAGTGTATTCAGAAAGCAGTGCATCCGGACATATCGAGACATGGTACTAGGAAGAAAAATGCATTCTAATCGATGCCAGAAGGCGTTCCAAGAGGGAGCGTGCCACAGCCTCCCGCTCAAAGAGCTCGGCAAGCTCCGTGCCTGAGCTCCCAGGCTCAGGGATTTGGTGTTTCAGGGCTCAGGGCTTTGGCTCTGCAGGGATGTAATGAATTAAAGTTCATAGGGTCTTCGGTTTTGGGCTCCAAACTTTCAACTCCAGAGATTGGAAAGTTACCTTAGAGAGCGCGGAACAGGGTCTTTCGCCAGTTTTGGCCATATACTTCGAAAAGTGCGCCGTAGCTGGCAGGGGGCTATTATGTGTAGATAGCCTACTGACGAAATTACCTGGCCGTTGGCGTCGTACCATACATACATACATATGTAAGTATGTATGTATGCACATATATATATATATATATATATATATATGTATGTATGTATGTGTTTCACGCATAATATACTATATCATCAAGACAAATCAGGGACTGCAAACACGAAAAGGATGAGATGGACGACTCCAAACTGCGTGGCTGTGCAGGATGCCCGGGCCTTACATAATAATTCGAAGAGGGTTGCGGGGTATATCATTCGTTTCAATACTAAGAAGCCCCAAGGAACCCCATCTCCTCTGTCACGATTCGCCTTTGCGTCTGCGAGGTGCGGAGTTGACTTTCGCGGGCTTGCGCTGCAGCAGCGTCGAAGGGCTCCGAGGTTGTCCAGAAGTCGGGTGGTAGCCAACCTGTTGTTCGGAGAGCCATTGGCATAAGTCCCAGGAACTCAGAGGCTCCAATATCCCTTCATTAAGGAATATACCTTAAATTCTTGCAGGCCTAACATGGTTTAAGGAAAATTCCTTAATTAAGGGATATTGGAGTCTCTGGGAACTGTGCCCAAACTCGGTTTACGCTCTCGCAACTCGGACATGCCTGACGAGGTCTCTGGTGCTGTGCGCTTTGACGGTCGGATCTACCAGCTGACATTCCTAAACTCGGTTTCAGAATGACCGCAGGCGGGGTCCTGCTGCAGCCTGGCGCGCCTTGCCGGAAACAGTCGAAGAGACCCACGATTTGGAATCCGGGCACAAGCTGAAACCTATAGCTTCAGCATCATCTTTCTTGGTATGATTATCAATATCATTACATATTGTTACTTTATCATTCGTCTTCTTACCGTTCATGCTTTTTGTCTGGTTGTTATATATACACATGCACACTACATTGGACTAGAGATGCTTGTCAGTGACCTTGCGAGCAGGCTGCCTACTCTACAACTGAGACCTCGGCTCCTCCGATCTTCACAGCCAACTTAGGACCACTCCTTCAATCATCTTTCCTAGACGCCTGACGCAGATAGCAAGCACGACAATGCATGGGTGTCTTCTTTCCACCACAACCCCTGGTTCCTAAGCATCTCTTTTCTAGACAGCGCTAAACCCGACTATCAACACCTCAAACCGGCAGACATCAATCCTTTTCAATGGCGGCTCAGCGGGCCCCTCCCGGAGAGCCTATAAACCCTCCCGGTGCTTCCTGTATACCTTCAAGCCCTCTATATATATATATATATATATATATATATATATATATATATGTATATATATATATGTATTTTTCCTCAGCCCTATATATATATATATATATATATATATATGTACTACGGGTCTGCCACCCCTCAAACATGACTCCAAGCCCCCAGTCTCACCAGCTTGGAAAAGCCCTACCCCTTATTTGGTGCCTCTTTCAGCTCGTCCTTAGACCCTACACCCTAAAGTTCTCTTGTGGATCCACCCCCCAACTTGAAGAAGTTTTCGGACAACCCTAATATAGGGGCCGTCACAATTGCTATGATTATACTGAGCAACCCCCAAAAGCAAAAGGTAATTATCAGGGCCCCTATCTATTTATATAGATAGATAGATAAATAGTAACCCCTTCTGGGCGCCTCTTTCAGCTCCTCCTGGAGGCTTCGGGTTTCCGCCGCGACCCGGGCCTCTGTGGCTCGGCAGGATGCTCGGGCGTCCTCGAGGTCGGCGCGGGCCTTCGAAACGCGAATATAGGGGGCCTGAATTCTTAGAACATGGGGTTCCCTCCAAGGGATCCTTGAAGGGTTCCTTGAAAGGGATCTATAGTAGGGTTCTAATGATATCGTGGCCTAATAATTAGACTAGGTCTGACTAGGTTTTGGGGCCCATTATACTATATGATCATAAAGGAACCCTCGCATGATGGCTTGCGAATGTTTAGGGTCTAGGGGCTTAGGGTTAAGGAGTTATGCTTGTGATCTTGGAACTCGCTCTGGGGGCTTTGGATTGTTATGGGGGGTTGCTAGTAGCAGTAGCAGTGGCAGTAGCAGCAGCAGCAGCAGTGGTAATGGCAGTCGTCGTCGCCGGCGTTGCCGTCTTCGTAGAAGCGATCATTTTTGTCACCCACACAAAACAGGAGAAGCGATAATGATAGCAGTAGTAGTGATACTGATCGTGGTAATCTTAATCACATTTGCACAGGATGGTAGTAGAGGTAGCAGCAGCGAGAGCACTGGCAGCAGCAGCGGTAGCAAAAGCAGTGGGCGTCGACGTCGTGGTGGTTGTGTAATAGAGGCACGAAGTAGGGTAGCGGTATACCGTAGCATAGATTAGAGTAGTGTAGAGTGGTTCAGACGAGTAAGGCGTGAGCATTAGCATCTGTCATCGTATGATGGCAATGAGTCGGCGTGCATGGCAACGGCCTTGTATTCATCTCTGCCAGGTGACTACCAGCATCAGTATTTCAGGCTTCAGTTCTGCTTTCGTCGAAAATGACAAATGTTTTCATTCTTTTGCAGATATCTCTTATTCCTGTTGTTACTATAGTATCTAATACCGTGGATGTCATTTAAGGAAGGCAGTGCTGATTTGCAAGATCCCGAATCTGGTCTTTGAAAGCGAGCGCCGAACCTAACAAGCTCACAAAACTTCTCCAAGGAGGGATTGCGCACCCGAAGCTCAAACTTACCACGGCCTACACAAATTCAGCAAGGGCCAACCTGGTCAGAGGCTTCCCGCAAAGAGACGACTTGCTGCTCCCTGAGCGTCTCGAGTGTTCGGGGGCTCTCGGGAGCCTCCCGACGATGAAAGCGAGAAACCTTAACCTTAACCCCCTTCCAGCAGGATCTGAGGACTTAAAACGTGAACTCCAGTGCCACTATTTCGTGCTATTACTACTACTCTTACTGTTGCTGCTGTTGTTCTTGCTGTGTTGTTGTTGTTGTTCGTGGTGGTGTTGGTGTCGTTGTTGTTATTCTACATCTTGTCGTTAACGATCTTGTCCTTGTCATTGTTCTTGTTGTTCTTGTTGTTGTTGTTGTCGCTGCTGTTGCTGCCGTTGTTGCTAGTGCTTTTGCCAGTGCTGGTGCTGTTGCGGTTGCTGTGGTTGTGCTTGTGGGTGTTGTTGTTGGTGGTGGTTGTGGTGGTGGTGGGGCTAGTGTTGTTGTTACTACTATGATAATCAATCTTCTTCTTATAGCGTGCCCAAAAAGGTACCATAATTTTGACAACCACCCATATGGCTATGAATATACTTTTCTGATTTATTGCTACTGCGGTTTCTTAAAAAACATGCCCTCGCATTCTTGTCAGTATCATTTTGCATTGTTGTCATTGGTTTGTGTTCTTCTCCTTACTATCATTATACTTAACATTACTGTTATGGTTGGTAAAAAATATTGAGTATTACGCCTTAGTTTCATTTGTATTTGGCAGTGTCGTTGCTATTCGTTTCGTTAGTTAGTACCAGTATTACAGCTTTTTCGTACTATTGCTTTGGAACTTTGGACACCACAAGACATTCTGCAGCTCAGGGGCAGCTGGCGAAGCTCCGCCTGTGATTCCTCAAGAGGAACGTGGCAGTTTCCGCAAATTAGGGGTACCCTATTTTGAGGTCCTTACAAGAAGGATCCTACTATTTATTTAGGATACCATATTAGGGTCCTCTCCCTCCCTCTCTCTCTCTCTCTCTCTCTCTCTCTCACGGACTCGAGTCGATATTAGGGTCCTCTATTTTCGGAAACTCCCACATGGATTCGCTGGGAGGTGGTGGGCCTAACACACCAAGAAGGCGCTCTGCGGTCTAAATGGTGCACAGACTCTTAGGACTGCTAGCCCAATTCTGGACTGGGTATGGGCACTAGCCGCACAAGTCCTACTTGGACCCTGTCTTCTCTTCGAAAAGAAGAACCCAAACCAATGCCTAACCTCAGGAATATCTGGAGACCTGAGCCCCATGCCTTCCGATGAATTCTACACCCCAAACCTCCTTGAAAGCTTGAACCCGACTGCAAAGGATAAGTGTGCCCGCTTTTAAGGCATGAGGATTTGTGCAAAACCCTGAATCCTAAAACTTCCACCCTGAAGCTGTTAAGCCTCAAGCCCTAAACCGCCTAAACCCTATCCTAGCCCTTTAAGCTTCACCCCGAGAGTCCTTTCTTGCTACTGGAATCACATCTACTTAAAGGATCACAGGACTTAGTAAGTGGGGTGATAAATAAGGTAACTATACTTATAAGTACTTATAACCCCAATTAAGGCACTTACAACCCGACTTACTAAGTCCCAGGATCCTCCAAGTTGCAGAACCTGAACCCCATGAACTGTAGAGCCCTCATTCGGGAGTTTCCGAAAATTAGGGGTAGGGCACTATATTAGGGTCCCTTATTTTTGGGAACTCCCATTTGAAGCCTTATAAGTAACCCCCAAGATCTCTGTGGCCCAGGTACTGCCTCAGCGCGGCGGGCTTTCGAGGCAGCATCCCGTGCCTGACAGTAAGCCTTGGGAGCTTGCTGTCTATGACTAGGTTGGCCCTTACTTTAAAGCCTCTGAGAAATATTCGTAAATAGGGTCCTATTAAGCCCAAAAAGGCGAAACATAAAATATTCGAAAATAGGGTCCTATTATATAAACCCAAAAAAGAAAAACATAAAATATCCCAAAGGCCTACCAAGATGAGACAGGGCTTGGGCTCTCGCGACTCGGACAATGCAGGCGAGGAGAGTTCCGGGCTTTTCTTCCCTCTTACTTAGCAACTGCGAGGCCCGCACTGGGGTTGAGGGTTTAGGGCCTAATTTGTGACTTATGACTGTGCGAGTCTTTAAAAGGGCTTTATTGAGTTGATAGGCTGGGACTTATAGAGGTTTTGATAGGCCTGCTACACTCTCTTGGAACGGTGTTGCAGCGGTTCGGTGGGTTAGGCTTCCTGTTGGGTTTTATGAGGCCCTCGTAGGATCCGCATGGCAATCTATTATGCGTATTTATAATATGACTAAATATATATGTATACTTTTTATTTATTTAAATATATATATATATATATATGTACATAGAGAAAGAGAGAGAGAGAGAGAGAGAGAGAGAGAGAGAGAGAGAGAGAGAGAGAGAGAGAGAGAGAGAGTGTGTGTGTGTCTCTGTGTGTGTGTGTGTTGAACAGTTCGTTGAAGTCAGTATTCTAAGGGTTGTTGGTGCTGAATGCGATGCGCAGCTCTAGGGCGGAGTGCTGTGAAACGGATCTCGGGGCTCTTGCACGTCGACAGAGTTCGGACGCTGCCTGCTACTCCGAACGTGGGTCGGGGAAGCTTTCCACAGGCCAGATCTCCTAATTATACAGGTTTATGGGTTTGCAAACCGGTTCGGCTTCACATCACATTGGGCTCAGCTTCAAATCAAGTTAGCTTTGGATTTGGGGCTTGTGCTGGCTGAGCCGAAACCATGAATGCTGTTCTGCTATGGTGTTACTACTACTATTATTACTACGATTACTCTTCTGATTATTACGACCATTATTACTAACGTGTGGGCTTAAAAAATTAGAATAGCGTTTTGGGACCCATTATACGATACTTATAATTAGGAATCCCCAAAATTAGTCTCGGTAGTCATTTCAGGCCCTATACTATTACTCTTTTTTCTTCCTATTATTACTATTTGGAATAACCAACAAAACATGATGATGATCCAAGCAGCCTGACGCCACCTCAGCGAAGAGGTTGAAGGCTACCGGGTGTTTGCTCGGCAGAAATACTTCCAGCAGGAGGGCTCAGGGGCTTCTGACTTCGTCAGACTAAACGAAAGCATGAATAGATTTGGGTTTCGGTAACCAGGGTGAGCTAAGTACGTGCTTCCACGCATGGTCTTCTTCATGTTCAGATCTATTGACGAACTCTTGCTGTTGTAGTGCGCTTACATGGTCTTACATATTATTATACCACTCATTACCGGAGAAGCGACATGTCATGTGCCCTGTACGGCCCGTGGGTTCAGCTGCCATGCATGTAGGGCCTCATACCACTACACGCTTACTACCCCAACAGCGCATGATAATTCTTCAGGACAGTGTACCACACAAGGGCCTAAGGCCTAAACGACGATTAGAACAGGGTTTTGGGGGGGAGCATGTAGCATTGCAACTACTATGAACCCCAAAAAGTCACACTAACAAGCACTCAGGCTTCTGGATTACTGCCACCCTAAACCCCTACAATCACCCTAAACCCTAAACTTTCTTAACCAATTAATGCCAGATTCTTTGGAGCTGAGCTGCTCCTCGGCTTCACGTCTTTGGCGAAGCTCCTGGCACTCGGCTTGCCGAGTGAGGCGGCGCAGCTCCTTTCGGAAAAAGGGTGTACTGGTTTAGGGTTTAGGGTTGATGTACTGGTTTAGGGTTTTGGGGGTTATGTTATCTTTAGTGCCCTTTTCAAGCTGAAAGGGGCTAGCACTTGGTGTGTATACGATGTGCATTCGCTCTGACGCTTGTCTGACCCTGCGCCTTCAAAGGCAAGATATGCATGTAGGGGACGTTACAACAAGGATCAAACAATAACCAGGGTTCAAAATAATATAGGGCCCCTTACTTTCTGCAACCCCTATACTCGTGCGGTTTAAGATTCGTGGGGTAGGGATTCCTTAATATGAACCCGATTATGGGAACCCTAATCCCTGCTAAACCCCCATAGGCTAAAACCCCTTCTGGCCTCCTAGGACCGAAGATGCGGAGTCCTGCTCAGCCCGTTGCAGCTCATCTGCGGCAGGCTCCCTTTGAAACGCCTCACCGGCAACTCGCAGGTCATAACCGTAAACCCTAAACCCTTAACCGTGGTATGAAACCAGAATTCGGCTCAAAAGCTGTTTCAGGTAGGGCATATTTAATATCGCTGTAACTACGAATAACACCCCTAAAGTACGCGCAAGTACTAAAACTCTACTACGAGTGCTATAACTACACAATGCACCAAAGTAGCCGGAGGAGCGGTTCGAATTTCAGGAAAGAGGCCCCCAATAAAAGCCCTCCCCTCAAATCGGGGGCCTCAAAAGGTAGGATGAAGGTAGGTGGGATATTCCCAAATAAGAGTCCTTATATAAGGGATCCTTAATCCGGGAATCCCACCTACCTTCATCCCACCTTGTGAGGCCTCCGATCAAACAACTGCCACACCCCAGACTCTTCCATGATAGAAACAACAATCTCGATGCCAACTTATGCATCACGCCTCGGATTGGCGAACACTTTGTCCGGTCGGGTCTTCCCCTGTGTTGAGGGTGACAGGCAGCCCAAGGGTTTGAGGATCTAGGGTTTTTGGGGTTTGTTTGCTTCTCTGTTCGTACTTAGGGCTTCAAAAAAGGCTTCTCCAGGCTGACGATTCCGTTGTAAGAACTTTTCTCGACAGGGTGTAGGACCATAGGATGTGTAGGCCGTACGGTGTTGGTGTTCTGATGGTTCAGGGTTCGGTGACAGCGCTGCTTGCCGTACGATGTACACGGCGTCATGTGCAGTTAGGATGTATAGCTACCTTGATAGTAACACTACATCGCCAATGATCCCACTGTACTTGCTACAACCCTACACACCTACTTGTACCCATATTGCTTGAAGCACTCCTGGCAAGAATCCATTTACTTTGGCCCCTGGTGCGAGCCTTGTGGCGGGGCCTGTAGCTGCTGCCACAGGCGCCGCAAGCTTTGCTCCTCTGCGCGTAGATGCTCCAACTCGTCGTTTGCAGCCTGCAAGGGTAAAATGCTACAGCTCCCGGGGAAAGGGTTCACCCTTACCCCTCCACCTTGACGAATGAAACGCACTAACTACAGTGAAGCATGCGAGTCCTAAACGTTACATCACTGAATAGCAGGGACCCCGAGTCCACAGTTTCTACACGCACTCTGCCACCTGCGCCAGTAGGTTTGCGCCGGGGGAGTCCTGAACGCACAAACGAGGACTGACTTGCGTGCCGTGACACCATATATATATATATATATATATATATATGTAGTCCAACATCCCCTAGGCTCGTAATCGAGCGGCCTTTGCGGAGGAACTCTAGTAAAGCACACGGATGCTATGATCTGAGGAACATTCGATAGATCACGCATGCTCTAGTGTAAACATGTCAGAAGGTTGAATGGAGTCTCTATGCACTGCAAAGCCTGCATGCACCAGCAGGCCTGCAACATCGCTGCTGGCGTTGCAAGTAGTACGGACGTGGCTGTCTCCGTCCCATCATGTAAAACCGGCGCTGCCAGGGAAACATCAGAGGTTCGAGAAACATTCTTTGCTGCCAGGCACGGTGAGGCTCCCCAGTGTTGAGACATAGGGCCAGCGAATGGTGCCGAGACCGGAGAGTGCACCAACTTGGCTCCGACGTCTAGAGCCTCGACAGTACGTCGTGCTGGACTCTTCGTCGGCAGAGCTGCTGTCGGTGATGGGCTGCGTGGTGCCGCTGAAGATGTCGACCCCCGGCACGGTTCTCCATAACTCTCCTTCTTTCACACACACGAGCGGGTGACTAATGTTGAAACCACGGACGACATCTGCCGAAATTGAAGAGCCGTGTCACGCGGCATTCAAAGGCGCTGAGCTCGTGCGGAGCGCGAACTTCATGACGGGGCTTGGCTGGCCTACGGCCGAATCACCGTATTGGAAAAGTTTACGGAACTGCAGCAGTGCCTGGAAAAAGCTCACGCCAACAATCCGGGCTCAAAGCACACAGCCCCCAGGCTCGCCGTAGTTTCAATGAAGAATGTTTAAAACAAAAACTGATCTTTCCACGAAGCCTAGGCGGAGGCAGGAAGGCAGCTAGGCCCTGTCCTTTCTCCATGGCGCAGCATTGGTTCTATTCTGCCTGCGCCCTGAATCAAGCTTTCGTGTGCATGGCGTATGGCGGTGGTCTGGAGCTGTTCGCCAGTGCTGGCCGTAATGCCGCAACATAGGACTCCTCAGTGCTTGCACTGCCTTAGCCGAAAAATCCTATCTTCTGAGGGTTCCTACTTATTATGGTCTCTGTTTGGAGTTACTGAGGAAGGTAAGTACTTTGGGCTGCAAGTACAAGCTAGCACTACCCGGATCCAGCCTGAGCCATATCGGCTGTACGGACGCACAGCTGCAAGGTACACCACTGCTCAATTTAATTTCCGTCCTCTCGCCCATTTATTCCTTTACTCATGCCTTGCTCAGTCATGCATCTTTTGATGAAGAAAACTTACAAATCCCCTGATGCTTCCGCCGTCTTTTGCATGCTCTGGCTGCAGCCAAGTGGTTTGGCTTTGGCACCTCCCAGTCCGGGCTAAGAAGGCAAGCCCGTCACCTCGGGTGAGCTTTCACAAGCACCATACGAGGCCGCGCTCGCGGCAGCATGCGGGCTGCAGTCTCCTTAGAACCCATGGACAGGAGCACCCAGACCTTCCAAAATCCCTTAATTAAGGAATATACCTTAAATTATAATGGGATCCCCAATATGAATTAAGGTATATTCCTTAATTAAGGGATTTTGGAAGGTCTGGGCAGTAACCCTCGCCTCAATTCTGAGCACTTTGGAGGAAGAACCGCGAGAATGCAGGCTTGCCCTGGCACCGCCACTGTAGGCTCCTGGCGCAGAGGTTCCCCAAAGCTCTCCTCGCAGAAATACATCAGGATACCTCCAGCGATCCTTCGCTGCAGCTCACAACTCATGCAGCTTCTTCCGTGCAACAAGAAAATCGTGCACAATATGCTCGGGAGCTACTGTTTCCCGGACCCCGCGCTGTCTGGGCTAGTGACAAAATATGCACGGCAGTATCAAGCAAAGTGGAGCTTTTGGCAAATGACCATGTTGGAATGACCTGTCGCTTGATTTAGCCCACGTGTCATTCCGATGGCCATGAAAAGGATGGGCAGCTCAGGAAAGACGGCCTGCAGGTGCACAAGGATATGGTGGAACACTCTCCACCTTTCGCACATGTCGGGTGCCAGGGTCAACAGTAGCCCCGCCATGCTGCTACTCTGTCTCGTGCCAGGGGGAGCTTAGCAGAAGTCTCCATTGTGCTTGATTACATGAGCCTGTGGCCTGGATCTTTTAAGAACCCCAAACCCTGAATTGGACCTTAAATCCTAAACCCGAGCCCCCCGGGCCAGAAGCTCGCCGACGCTGGCGGCACTCGTAATAGCCCCGACGCTCAGGAACAAGTTGATGACTCCTTGAGCCGAAGGAGTCAATAATTATAGGTTCCTGTATATAAAAGGATCCTTAAGGAATCCCCTAAAGGGTTCTATAATGGGGTTCTACAATATAGGGGTGCCTTAATACATAATTCGAATAAGGTTTTGGAGCCCCTTCTACTATTTTTGTAATAAGGAAGCCCCCAAAATCGTATAGGTAATTTTTGAGTCTCCTACAGTAAGGGTTGTTGCTCGCTGGGTGGAGGGTGTGACATTCTGAAGCACGGCACCCTATGACCCCAAGCCCTCTATGCCAGCATAAAGTAAAAGCCAGAAAGTTGAAATATGATTATCCTAAACCAATTATGGTAAATTATAAGGTAGCCTACCCTGAAACCATATTCCAACTTTCTGGAGTTCCCTTTAGCTTCTGGCACTGCGGTTACACGTAGCATTGCGCACCCCGATTCCTGAAGCTGGTGCCCTTGGAAAGTGCTCCAAAGAATCCACTCAAAATACGCAAAATGCAGGGCCAGAACAAATAGGCTCTGTTCACTTGAGTTCCCTTCTATGATCAAAATCTAACCTCCTCCAAGACGTTCTCTGAATGTTAACCTGTGGATGGCCTGGCGCGGTGGATCTGACAGTCGTCGGGAAGATCTCGGTCATATACACACCTGATGCCGGAGAGCAGTGCAGCAATCCAGAAACTGGGCGTGCTGTTCTCGATGTGTGACTGCACTTTGCTGACTCCGCTTTGGCATGCCTTCAGCGGGATATTGTAAGCCCGGACTGATTGACAAATGCCGAAATGCTTTCATTAATCTCCTTTCCGCGGCTGTTGCGCACACTTTGGCCGCTGCCGATCAAAAGCTTGAAAGTACTTTACAAGGAAAGCCTGACAGTGGCAAGCGATGTGATTGATACGCTCTGCCACTGCAAGCGAAAGGCTAAGTAGATCGTGGCAGCGTCTTAAAAGCCTTCATTGGAATGTATGCTGATCGCTGCTCTCACACGGTGAAGATGTCAAGGACTGTCTGCTCAGTCTGCTCTGTCTCAGTCGCTCGGCACTTGTCGAAGTTCGAGTTCGCAAACAATCTGGGTGCGATCGTCTGTATGGATGAAACAAGCAGGGTCTTCCCCATTGGGCTGTTGGCTTTGCGGAGCACGGCTGTAAGGGCAGCATCCTCGACCTGCTCCTTTAACGTCTTCGGCGGCGCAGGGCTGTAGAACCTTAACTTCCCAAATGATTACACATGAGGCGAAACTTTCCGAATAACACTAAGTCAGAAGACACCAAAAGTTAAAGACTTATTTAAGTTTTGGTCACCCAGAACTGCAGAACCCTTGATTGCTGAAAGGATCCCTGAAGGAATCCTAAAGGATCCCTGAAGGGAACCCTAAAGGATCCCTCAAAGAACCCTTGTAAAGGATCCCTCAGTGCCCTGTAAACAAAGGAACTCCCCGGAGTCCACAAAGGGCCCGAAAGTCCGGCTATGGTCCTTAGTTGCCCAGCTCGTACTTGGAGGGTCATGGGACTCTCCTTAAAGGGATCTATAGGGTCCCTCAAATGGATCTATAGGGTTCCTTGAAGGGATCTAAGGGTGTTTTGTCCCTCTCGCATTGCTTGGAAGTCTACGATTTACAGGGTTTAGGGTTTAAGGTCTGCTTGGAGAATCATGGGACTTTCTCCCTGCTACCTTCGCAAGGACGAGGCCCGCATTTCAGGGTATGCTCGGTCATCAGGGACTTAGTAAGTAGGGTTACCAACAAGTTAGTTATACGATGCGGCTATACTTATAGTTTCTTGTCGCCATGTGTTTTAATTAAGGCTTTGGGGCTTTGTACATGGCCTCAGGGTTCGACACTAGGAACAGTCGTAACACTGGGCGCTGTGTGCGGAAACCAGAGTAATGAACCCCGACAAGGTAGGTTTTGAGAGCTACAGGTAGTCATATTAGTCATTTCTGTTTAGGTGTAAAGAAGTTGTAACAAATTGCCACAAGACTGAACTTGGAATTTTGGATCGGGGCTTGGGATTTATACGGTGGGTGCTTTTTCCCTCCAACTTCGCAAGAACGAGGACCGCATGGCAGGGTAGTTCGCATGAACAGCTGACTACAGCTGCAGGTTTCGTGAAGCTAAGTGGGCTAGACATTGTAAAGGTGTAGCATTTAGGGCTTAGAAAATTTTTACACCATATTATATTACATTCTAGTGTGTTGTGATATCTCATGAGATCTTAGGTTGTATCATTTTCCACCAAAAGGTGCACAGTTCACAAAATCAACTACCAAGGATCGATGGCCATCTCGCAGGCCTCGATGCGATCGAGACCACGATCGGGATTGAAAAGGTCCTTCTTGCGTCTTTGATAGGGTTGAGGTTTCGACTCGCTCGACGCTGGCACGGCTTCATGAGGTCTCGTTCCGTGCGTAGGACTCAGGGTTTAGGGTCCCTAAACCCTGTAAACCACACGATTTTATAGGTTTATAGGGTGGCGAGGCTGCTCGTGGCGAACCCACACATTACCTTGAAGCGCTGGCGTTAGGGATGCTCTTTACTTGGGAATGGCCTGGGAACTGCTCGGAGGTTCTATAGCTTGTCTATTGTTGCGTAGGGTTGAAGAGGTCCTTGTTCAATTCTTCCAGCGTCTCTTGAAGAGCCTTGAGAGTTCCGGCATACTTGGGGTCGTGTGCCAGGTTGACGTGCTCAGTGGGATCCTCCTCGACATTCACCAGGCAGCCAGCCCCGCAGTCGATGGTCCAGGTCTGTCTGTCGATTTCGGCCTGCGACTGGGCGACCGGCAAGGGCTCTCCAAAAACCTTCATATCTTGTTGCGGCGGCAGCGGCCCGTTTTGGTCCTTGAGTGTGTGCACCGTAGAGCAATTGGGATAAAGCGGCCCCTGCCAGGTACTGAGCACCTGCTTGCCTGTCACCAGTTTGAACGGCCAGCGCAGCACAGCCTGTGAGCTGAGATGCATCGGCCCTGTGCGACCAGGCTTGTCATTGATAATGTTGTCCCACTGCGGCATGCTGTCCACAGGATGAAGCAGTGGCAAGCCCTTCTCCTTTAGGAACTGGTTAGCCTTTTCGGATTTGTGATCGGTCATGTCAACACCCGCCAGCTGCGTGAGGGTACCATACCAGTCCGCGACGTTGATGATTCCGGTGTATTTTGCCCCTCGCCTTTTCTCAGGCACAAAGCCACCAGAAACCCAAGCATTGGTGCGTACACCGCCGTCCCAATCGGTGTATTTTCCACCTGGGTGGTTGTCAAAATTATGGTCCCTTTTGGGGTACGAGTACCCCAAATATTAGGTGCCGTTTTATGATAAGGACCCCAAAATACAATAACAATAATACTAAGGACCCCAAAAGGGACCCTAATATTGACAACCACCCACCTCGCAAAGGATGATTGGAAGCGGCCCCAGGCTCGTAGATGGGGCCGCCATTGTCGGAGGTGAAAATGATCCTAAGATGCCCAGTAGCCTAGGAAGAAAAAGGGGCTCCCTTTTTGGTGCTGGGTAGCTTTATAAGGAACCTGGGACTACAAAAAGGGCAAAAGGGCCCACTCAAAGGGGCCTAGAATCAGCGTGTTGTCGTACATCTTCTTCTGCTTCAGTGCATCGACAGCCTCGCCGATGGCGGCGTCCATGTAAAGAGTCATTGCAGCGTAAAGGCGCCTGTTCTCACCTGGGTTGTACCCTAAGGCCCTAAAGTAGTTCCTTTTTGGGGTTCATATTTAGAATCCTATTAGGTAATCCCAAAAAGGAACTACTTTGGGGCCTATGGGTAGTTTTGGGGCTCTGAAAAGTATTTATGAATAGGTAGCCCTATAGGAACCATAAGGGAAATTAAACAGTTTCCCAAATTGCCACCTAGTCACTGTCAATGGCCTTGCCACCTGCTGCAGAAACCAAGGCGTCCAGCTTCTGGAGCCAGGCTTTGGGCACTTGCAGGGGCGTGTGGAGCAGGTGGAAGGAATAAAACAAGAAGAGCGGGTTCTCTGACTTTGAAGTGTCGTGATTGTGAATGATCTGCAACACTCGCTCCTTGAAGAGATGCTCTTCGTAGCATCCGGGATCTGACTCCTCATCCTCCTGGCAGGCCGCTGACAAGGAGATCGCATCGCGCACGGGACCGGAATATGTCTCGTTGTGCATTGAAAGATCTCGCATGCGGTTTAAGCAAGCATCGATCTCACCAGTAGCCAGGAACACGGTGCTCTTGTGCCAATAGTCATTGGCATGCTGGTAGTAACCGTACCAGCTCTCATATCCGCGGCCCTTCGGTGAGTGTTCGGGAGTGGCCATGCCCGCATCCCACTTCCCCACAATGTGCGTCCTGTAGCCTCCATCCCGCAACTTCTCGGCAATGCCTGTCATGTTCCTTGGGATGCCGGCATATCCGCTCACAGGGTCATTGTAGTTGCGGGAAGTGACTGCCGAGTTGACGGGATTCACATGCACGGCAAGACGACCCGACTGGATGGATGATCGAGTCGGGGAACAGATCTTGTAGGTGTAGTGCCGCTCCAGCAGAATGCCTTCGTCAATCAAAGCATCCATGTTCGGCGTGTGCACCTCCACCTTGCCTTGCTGCTCCTCGGGAGTGGAAGGGGCATCCCGCCGGTGCACGCCCATGTTGCCCCAGCCATAGTCGTCTGCCAGAATGAACAGCACATGTGGTTTGGCTTCCGCCACCAGCGGCACGACCGCCAGGAGAGGCAGAACGAAGAAAGCCATGCTTCGGAGATTGGACGGTAAGCTGAGCAGCTTGGCCAAAACTGTTTGCAGAAGCATGGCAAGCACAACCGCCTCTCTTGGTGACATGAATCTAAACCGACAAGTTACATACGGGGTATATACACAGGTGATCAGGCGTCCAGGGCCTAGGGCATGATAAGCATGGGCATCGTCCTGGCTCGAGCGCGGCCTCCCACGCTCCAAATCAGTTCCTCGAAAACCGCCGAAATGAACAGCGCTCCCACCGCCTCGGTTGGTCGCGCGCTCCGTTGGAGCGTGACTGTGAAACCCAAGTATACAACTAGTGATAACTAGTGACTATAGTGCCTACTTCGGCGTCTAAAGTCGAATGTTAGGCTATTTGGAATCATAGGGACAGCCAATCGACAGCAAAGAGCGGATTTCCTGCAACATCTGGGCGGTGGTCAAAATTAGGGTCCGTTTTGGGTACCCTAAATATTAGGTGCCGTACTATTATGGGACCATAATATTGACAACCACCCATCTTGCAACGGAGGTGCAAGGATGGGGCTCGAGGTCGCAGCAATCATAAGAAGCAAAGCGCCTCCTCCGAAGAAGCCCAGCTGTATCAGGGGCACACGGCGAAACCCTTAGTAACGGTGCAGGGTTAGGATTTACAACGATCTCTCTCTCTCTCTCTCTGTCTCCGTCTCCGTCTCTCGCTGTCGCTCTCGCTCTCGCTCTCGCACTCGCACTCGCACTCGCTCTCGCTCTCGCTCTCGCTCTCGCTCTCGCTCTCGCTCTCTCTCTCTCTCTCTCTCTCTCTCTCTCTCTCTCTCTCTCTCTCTCTCTCTCTCTCTCTCTGTCTTTCTGTAGATATGTATATATGCACATAAACAGAAACATATGTGCACATATATATATATATATATATATATATATATATGTATGTAGGCATGCATGCTCGCATGTATGTGTGGCACATGGGAGGTCACAGAGCCCCCGCAAAAGAGGACCGCCAAAGATTGCAAGCAGGTGTCGGTCAATGACGCAGATCTCGGGGCCTCCCAGAACGAGCAGTACCACGCCCGCCGCTTTCCCGCATGGTCCTGCCATCATGGCCTGAGAGCTCGTTCCGAACCCAACTATCGACAGGTCGCACCAGTTGGGTAGATTTTTCGCCTCCAAGCCCGCAACCCCTCACGATCTACCCCAGACTGAAAATCTGTGTTGGTGGCTGCGACCGAAGCGCCGGCTGAACGTACTGCTGAAATCCGCGGCTCTTGAAGTACTCGATAAGCCAGTAGAACAAGCCGCTGTTGTAATAACCAAGCCTCGGCACGAAGCCCGATACAAGAAGTTATTGAGTTGAAGTTCATCCATGCGGTATCGTAGCAAAGGGCTATATGCTTATATGTATTAATAATCCTGACTAGCCAACCTCCCCAGGACCTCAAGAGCGGGGTTGAGTAGCTGACCAGGGGTCTTCAGGGGTCGACATGGATCGAAAGAAATAAGCGGTATCTGTCCATGACAGTTCTTGATCTGCAGCCGGAGTAGCATGAAGTAAGCGCAGCAAAGCACCAGCAACGGAGACCGCACATCAGGCGCAAGAAGCTCTGACAGTCCTAGGGGAAAGGTTTGCGTTTAATGTAATTACTTTCTTGGACAGGTTATGCTAAGAATTAAACATATTTTTTGCCTCCTGCATGGCCTGGTACGCGAAGCAGGGAAATATGTCACATAGTCTTAAACATATATAGCCAGCAGTTCGCTGTCCTATGCATGCGGCGGCAGGCCTACTTAAAAATGACGCCAACCCCTTCACTTGGTAGGAAGGCTCGATCGTGCCAGGAGCGATGTTGGACTTCCTGCCCTTCCATTGCCTGATGCAAACAGTTCGAAAGGGCGGATGACAAACTGCTGAGTTAGACCGTGCTTGCTGGCATGGACTGCCATAACAGCATTCCCAGTTGCCGGGTCTAGCTTGGCAACGTCGATGACATCGTCACTTCCATCGTCATCTGCTTCCTCTTTGGCCCGGACATGCCCGGACCCATCACTCGAGAATCATGAACCAACGAACATTCAGATGCGTCTTTCAACAGCAACGCCGCCATCCAGGCAGACAGTCCTTCACTCGTCGCAGTTGCTCAATGCACCGGGTCATGTTGCCGTCCACTGCAAACCATCGCGGGCTCTCGTAGTTGCCTGTTCGGTTTTTGTTCCCTCCTATTCGGGTTTAGGGTGTGGGGTTTAGGGGACCGCAAAACATGTTTCGTGGCGCTTGCAAGTTTAGCTTAACGGAGTGCCAAGAAACTCCCACGCAGCGCAAAACCAAGGGTCAGTGCCAAAGGTAAGGCTGCCACCTAAACTGACACCGAGCTGCACATCTCGGCGCTCACACTCGGACAATCCAGGCCAGGCATATGGCTACACATTCTGAGCTTCGACGTTTAGGGCAAGTTAGGGTTGAGGTTTCAGGATCACGAGCCCAAAGAGCCCAATACCCCTTAATTAAGGAATATGGCTTAAATCATAAGGGGCTTCACATTATGATTTAAGCTATATTCCTTAACTAAGGAGCATTGGGCTCTCTGGAAGGTTGGGGCTTGGGGTTCAGGGTTTGGCATTGGACATCGTTGAAGCATTCCGTCAAGCCCCTAATAGATCGAGTGGCCGCGCCAAAGAAGGCCTTCCAATTGACCGCCGGAGGCAAAGCAACCCACAGCACCGTTACCCTGGGCTCAACATCCAGCTCATCAAGAAGGATTGCATGCAACCTTGCACCCAAGATGCCCCAATCGACCAGCTCGGCCAAGTCACCCCAAACGTCCGGCGTTCCACATCATATGCAGGGAAACTTGAAGCGTACCTGCTAGTACAGAAGTGGACGCGCACCTCTTTGTGCAAGCAGCTGATGCTTCAAGTATTGATGCCGCCACGATGCTGCGCCACTTCAGGGGCAGCCACTCGGCTAGAAGGACACCTGTGCAAGGATAACCGAATGTCATCTCACCGCCGGCATAGTTTGTAGGCTGAGCTCACGCTCAACAAGTTGATTTGGCCAAATTGGGCCTGCAGTGACGAGTAAACCTCTGATCCCCTGATTCTACCACTGTCAGAGATCAAAAATGATCAAAAGTGGCCTGCCGGCAGGCAAGGGCCATCCTTCATAAAAGGACATAGCGTCAACACGGCCATCAACCTCCAAGGGCACATTCAAAAGCTTCAAGCCTATAATAGGGTTTAGGGTGGAGCTGTTCAAGACTGTCGCAAATACCAAGTAACGCCAGCTTGTTCCGGACCATGCCAAATCCCGTCACGGCGAAATCGCACATCAAGATGCAAATGAAAATTGTGGTAATCCTGCCAGGGTGACAGTCCTGGTCTGAACAACAGCGACAACTAGCAGGGCGCGGCGGCACCACATGAAGCCCTCAGCATGCGGTCGCGAAATCCTGCCGATGGAATCGCTGCCGACGCCGATGAGGGCATTTGCGAAGCCACCAGCCGACTGTGGCGCACATGTGCGGGTAGGTTCGCGGAACGGTCAAGTCACAAAACTTTCAGGAATGCAAAGCAAGCTGCGATGGCCAAACCAAGCATCAAACTTTTGTCCTCCGTTGTCAGCCTGGCGCAGGCGGGAGAGTGTGCTCCCCGGCTCACAGCCAAAGCACCCGTGAGCATCTACGGGGGTGCGTGACATCCCGCTCTATAATTTGATTTTATTCTGGCAAAATGGCGCTGCTTCGCCCCTGAACCTCAATCCCGGTGAAACCCGAAACCAAATTCACCTGAACGAATTTCGCGCAACACCTGGCTTGTCTGCCTCTGGCTGGAGGATGTGAGCTTCACCCAGTCACCCTCAGCTTCCCCAGCTGCATCCATCATGAAAACCTGAGGATAGGTCGTGGCGACAACATCCTACTGTGAGTTTTGCTTGGCACTTCAGCACATGAAGGCACATGATCGTTCAATGCAAACCGGATCACGACGGCCGATGACAACCAGCCCATACATGCCCAAACCTCAGCGATTGGCGCCCGATTCGCGAACATAAGCTTCGCGACAATGCATGCTGGTCTGTCTGTACGCATTGATTGCGCGACCAGCAAATGAAGGAGGCACGTACGAGTACTGACAGAATGCGCTCAAGCCATAACATGAACCCGTAACGTAACCAGGCTCCTGCCACAGCAATCAATGCAGCCGCGTCTCGCTTGCACAACAGAGGAAGACATACCTCACGCTCAAACGTGGATCTGAAGAAATGCACGCTACCGTTCTGATGCCCCAAGAAGCCAACAACAACTCACCTCCTCTCGTTTCCCGCCTTGCCTAGTGAGCTCACCGTTTGAGCTCCTGCTGAACTGGGACCGCGTGGATGGTTGTAAAAAAGGTATGTGTGAACAACATATTACATAGCTTGCAAGGTGAGTCGCCAATGGTATATTCTGAAGCCTAACTTCTCGATGGCCACATTGAGCTTCACGTTACCTTGCAGCATTGTGGCAGCATCGGTCATCCAACTGCAAACGTGACAACTCTCTCGCACGACAAAAAAAAGATCCGCAACATACATGCCGAAAGCCTTTCTGCAAAAACATGTTGGCTGATACCAAGTCTGAAGCGATGAATGGCAAGGCACGCTCGCTAGTCGCAGCGGTCGGTAGGCGCTGCATTATGTACGGCGTGAGTAAGCCATGTCGTGGCTGCAGGACTGCGTTTGCAAGCGGGCTGGTGTCTACCAAATCTGTATCGCCCAAACAACAACTACCCAGTCCCGCCCAGGTTATCAATATCTTTTTTTCTGGGCAAACCTTATGGGGCTTTGAATGCCCGACTTGGCAATGTACACTAGCTCTCGTCCGGCAGCATTGTGTAATGCTTTACCTGGCTGCATCACTCCAGTCCGGTTGGTCCCCAGCTGCTACCGCACATGATTGATCATGTTTGCCAAAACTGGTTTTCCAGTGTCGAGCATTGGGAAATTATAACGCAAGGGCGCATGGGGCTTGTGCGGGGCCTGGTTTTCGTTTTCGTTCTGCGAAGTGCTACCCGGTCGTGGTCGTAGTAATATCACGCTGAAGAAGGAATGCCGTCACACGAAAATTTTGCTTTCTTCTTCATCTTCCTGGTTGGATAAGGACCACGGGCAAAAATAACATGCCTGTTTTGTTCATCTCCTTTGGTGTCCGTGCCGGCGTCCTTCCGCTACAAACTATCAGCCTCAGACTGAAGCTCCTACGACCGGGGCCAACAAAGGCTTGCCCCGGTGCATTTGGCAAGGTCCAGGGGTCCAGCACCCTGGGCCGCGCCGTTGCGCCCATCTTCAGCCGTTGGGCGAAGCACACACCGTTGCAAGGCATCCAAAGTACGAAGGTGTCCGAACCTACTGCCATAATCAAAGGTGCTCCAACCCGGCAGTTGACAGAGTGGGCGATGCAGCATCATTCCGTTTCACACCGTCTCGGATATCGAAGTCGCAACCATATTCAATTCATCCGGTGGGTCAATGTATCAATACAACCACGTCCAACAACAGCCATCGACATTTCAATTCTTCGACAGAGGTCTGGACCCGATGCGTCAGAAACGACATTCTCGCAGACTCCTCCCTTCAGCGGCCTTTTGCAAGTCGCATGCTCCAAATCCCAAGATACTGTAATGCGCACTCAGTGCACGCGGCCCTGCATTGGGTCGATCATACCCTCAGGTACTGTTGGGTCTACCCCGGGTCGGATATTAGACCCCAAACCCGGGGTCTAATATCCAAACCCTAGGGTCACGCAAAGGGTCATTTTAGACCTTCACGCTTTGGCCTATGATCACGTCTCTGTTGGGGCCGTTGTGGCTCGTCATTGCTTCAGTACGTTTTAGTTCGCGCTTTTGCGTGCTACTGTAGTCCCCTGCCGGCCTGGCTTCTCCCCGGTCCCAGTTATCGTCTCTTACTCTGTTTCTGTCCGTTTCGGTTCCGCTGTGGTCTCCGCTCAGCTCTGGAAAGTCTCGGGTTCGTTGTTCTTTTCGGTTCCAAACCGGTTTCGGATCGGATACACCCCGGTTCCTTGTGGCGGTTGGGCTGTGGTTGTGTGGCCCTGGTTTCGGTTCGGATCTTGCTGCGGTTCAATTGAGTTGCACTGAGTGCGGGGGCCCACTTCCGAGTTCATCCATCGCCGCCGCCCCTGCATAATGTCGCCTCCCTAATGTCCCACTTCGCCTTTAGGAACCTGGAAAGCCTAATTACCTAATTTTCGTTTTGCACACGGATTCTTTTTTCTTATCGATGCGACTCGGGCTGAGTTCGGTTTGGGTTGAGGTGGAACTGTTTTGCTTCCCAGGTCTCGTCTTGGGTTGTAGGTGTGGGGTCGGTGTCTCTCCCCTGTCGGTTCCGGCAGTTCCGTTCGTTTGGGTTCTGTTCCGGCCTGAATCTTTTTTTCGGTTTCACCTAGGTTTCCCTCAGCTCGCATTTTTTTACGAAGCCCTGGCAACCCTCTATGGAGGTAGAAGCACGAATCCAAGAGTGCTCCAGGCTGAGTTCCGAAGTTTCGGGTTTGCGGCTTCTGGGTTCAGGCGCTTAAAGTTTCTGGGTTTCTGCTTTTCTGGGTTTGGGGATGTTTCTGGATTTAAGTGTTTAGCGTTTCTGGGTTTTTGTTTCTGCGCGTTTCTGTGTTTAGGTGTTTAGGGTTTCTGTTTTTCGGTATTCTTCCCTAATCGCAAATTCTGGGTTTATGTGTTCAAGTTTACTGGGTTTCTGCGTTTTTGGGCGCTCGTGTAACGTTTCTGGGTTTCGGCCGTATGCTGTCCAGGGGAACAAACCAGGGCACACGGGTACCACGAGCCCTCGCTTACCCATCCATAAGAAAACTGGCCACAGCAGCACAGCACCGGCTTCCGGTTGTATCCGTCTCGAGGTTCCTATCTTACTCAAGACGTTTATATTGGTTTGGGATCTACAGGGTGTGGAGGGTTTGGGGATGTTCGGCATGCCGGGGTTCTGGAGTTTAGGGTTTCTGGGTTTGTGCATTTCTGGACGTTTCTGGGGGTTCCCGCTTTTGGGTTTAGGTGTTTGGGTTTCTTGGTTTCTGCGTTGCTGGGTTTGGGCGTGTTTCTGGATTTAAGTGTTCCGGGTTTCTGGGTTGCTGCTTTTCTGAAGGGTTCTGGGTTTAGGTGTTTAGGGTTTCTGGGTCACGGGGTTCCTGTCGAAACGCAGTTTCTGGGTTCATGTGCTTAGGTTTATAGAGTTTCTGCGTCTTTGAGCGTTTTTTAACGTTTCTAGGTTTAGGTTTAATAGGCGCTTCAGGTTTTTGGGTTTCTGCGTTTCTCGGTTTGGTGCTGCTTCTGGGCTAGGGCTTTTGCGTTTTTGCACGATTTTGGGTGTAAGTGCTCTAGGCTTCTGGGTTCTGCGTTTCTGTGCGTTTCTCTGGGTTTCGGTGATTAGGATTTCTGGGTTTCTAAGATTCAGCGTTTCGGGTTTGAATGTGTTTAGGTTTCGGTGTTCGGCGCTCACGCTCGGACAATCCAGGCGAGGCATGTTGTTCGGAGTCTAGTGACTAGTGTTCCTGAGTTTCTGCGTTTTGGGATGTTTCTAAGTTAAAGGCATCTCGTTTTTTGCGTTTCTGAATGCAGTTTTGGTCAAGCGATTTTCACGAGCAGGCACCGCGAGACACAAATCTCACATCCATTTCGAGGCTCGTGGACCTGTAATTCAATTTTTTTTTCCAACGGACTTTTCGAACGATCCGCGCGCGGTCGCAGTGCACCTGCGAACTACGGCATAGGAGAGGGGCTGCTGCGGCTCAGCGAGCCGGCAGGCAGCTGGGCAAAGGCGGGCACGCGTCGTGCAGGACGTCCTGCAGAGGCGGTGCCTGCGCGCCAGGCATAGGGGCATGGACGGGCGGCGACCCGAGCAGAGTGGCAGCAAGCGTGTTTTGCACAGCCACGCTGAGTAGGCCCCACCAGCGTCTGCACCAGCCCTGGGTGGCAGCTCCTCGGAGCGGAGCAGGGGCTCGCAGGGCACGCAAACGGACGAGCTGCGCGACAAGGCGGAGCGACTCGTCGTTCCAGCGCCCGCCGGTCTCGCACGCGAGCACGCACAGCCTTTGCGGTCCTCGCATGTCCTCGCCGAAGGAGCTCGGGGTAGGCAGCGCGCTTGCGGCGTTCGGCGACGGCCAGTGCAGCACCGTCCCTGGTGGTCGAGGAAGGTTGCGGGCGGCCGTCGCGGGTAAGCGGCGAGACCAGGGTTACGTCGCAGCACAGTGCTTCGCCAAGCTGTGTGGCACCATATGCGACGAAGTCGAGACGCCGGCGATCGTCGGGGTCAACACCTGGGGCAGGCGTCCGTACTAGCCACTGTTGCGGGACGACCTGGCCCTCCGGCCCGACCGCTTCGCGCACGACCCTGATCCACGCGTGCTCGAGTGGCTTGGCTCGCCGGGCGAGCAGGCCGGTGCGGGGGCAGGCAGCATAGTGATCACCGTAAACGTCGACCGCGGCGCCGCAGCCGGGTCCATGGGCCCCGCATCTGCCTGGTGATGCCTGGTGCGACGGGCAGCGATAGGCGCAACCGTCGCCGCAAAGCGATGAGCATGCGGCCTGGCGGTATTGTGGTGCCGGCCTCGCTGGGGACGGTGCCGAGCCAGGCGGCAGCGCGCGGCCCAGACTGCGAACGCAGCAGTGCTTGTGCAGGCGGCGCGAGGGCCGGCAGCAACTCGGTGTCGCGAAAACGGGTTGAACAAGCGCGAGAACCGTGATGCTGCCAGCCCTGGCACCGCTCGCCAGGCTCGGGCAGGTCGCATTGGGCCGGTCGCAGGCCGTCATGGATAGCGTCGACCTTCCCATCCTGCGTGGGTGAGGTGGGCACCAGCGGCAGCGGCGGCGCGCAGGCAAAGCGCGAAGGAGGCTGGTCATGCTGGTCCGGCTTCGAGTTCGGCCAGGCAACGCGCAGCAGCCTCGGGGCGACGCAGCCGCAAAACAGGCAAAGCGTCAGCCCACGCGGCCCAGTACGCGGCAGGAGCGACACGCTCCGCGCATTGGAGTCCGAGTCCGCCGAGGCGTGCCGGCAACAGCGCCAGGTGTCGCGCGGCAGCGACTTCAGGATCTTGGTCGTCCGAGCAAGTGGTCTGCACGCGGGGCGGCACACATGGCAAGGATGAGCCACGCGCATTGCAAGTCCGGCAGCAGGGGGAGCTCCTGCAGCAGCCGGGTCTCCTCCCTGAGGCGAGCGTCTGTGTGCGACGCAACGTAGTCAGGGTGGCCGATGGGCGTGCCCATGCAAGGCGAGAAACCCTCGCTGCGCTTCGATCGCGTTACCGGTCCAGACCGCTTCGCCGAGTTCAGCAATGCCTGCGGGCGCAGGACCGCCTGCGCGGTTGTAAACGCGCGTCTTGCCCAAGTTGGCGGCGACGCCTGCCCGGTCCTGGATCGACGTGGTGACGACGTCGAGCGCTTCCCGCGCACGCGCAGGCGTGGTCACGACGTAAACGTCATCGAGGAAGGCGGCCAAGCATTCACCCGGTTGCAGGCGCTCGTCGGCAGCAACGAGGGCATCGTGTTGGCCAAGCGCGTACAGGGCCGGGGCCAAGGCGTCGCCCTGCTCGCAGCCTTCGCCTTGGCGGATGCTCCGCCGGGTGCCAGACGCATCCCACCAGTAGTACGTAGACTGCTGGCCGTACCACAGGCGGAC